TGATATTCATGGCTATTCAATGGATACTGCGAGATGGTCTTAATTTATAACCATCGTTAAAGTGGAATATCGCATCTCGGGATATTTGTATCTTGAGGTTTACCTGTACAGTACTATGATATATTTTCTTATAAATTAATACTGTACTGGTTTTAAACCAAATATTAAATAAAACTTGTGAATAACTAGAATTAAGTTCAGTATTATATTCTATAGCAGTCTTGGAATGTCAAGAGCCAACACTGAAGTCTGGTGCCATATTATCAGTTATGGTCCAGCTTAAAGCTGTAAGTGTGCAAGAAGCAGAGTTCATATAACCTAAAATGCTTTGCCTGGGGACTTTTTATTTTCTATAGTAATGATCAAATGTAACAACTATTTTTTACCTGTGATATCCAAGAGTCAGTGAAAAAGTACAGTAATTAGGCCTGGTATTTTTTCCACTCAACTATCCAGATGTTCAGCTTTTGGGTCAACCAGGGTCGTATCTGAGCTCAGCATAAATTATATAATAAAATGTTAATCTTGATGATCCCTAGACCTCGGACTTATAATTATCAGGACCAGCAAAGTTGTGAAATCCCAGGCCTGTATAATGCCATGAGTAATTTTTTCAAAGTTAAATCTCACACATATTAAACAGTTAACTATGCTGGAATGATATGGATGTTCCACCACTACCCGAAAAGTAACAGCACACTCTTCGGTTTACAGTATATACTGAGGTATACATTAATATGGCCACTGCGTCCTGGTTAGAAATTAAATCGTGATACATTGACTGACACACCTACTGTATACAAACATGGACAAGGCAAAAGCATACTGCCCTTTGGTGATGCTAGTTAGTGCATTTCTCAACAAAATATTCTAAAATATGCCCAATGTCATTGAAGACATTGACTTCTTTATTTACATACTTTAAGTACCAATGGCCTTCATCCCTGGATATATCAGATCAATAAGTCACCCAGTTTTTGAGAATTCCAACTTCGAATTTTTTTTCTTTCCCATAATCATGAAATATTTGAAAATGTAAGAAAAATCCATCAGTGATTCAAGCCATTAATCCCTTCATCTACATCAATGAAAAGTTAAGAATGATCCATCAACCAGCTCTCCTGACACAACTCTTCACTCACAACTAAAAAGATAGCATACTTGAAACACTTAACAACAGTTTGTAAGCAAATAACTTCTATGATGAAAGTTCACACATACACTGACATAAAAGAAAACTTTTCATCCTCTTGTTTATTTTCCTTTCCCATCAAAATCTTAGGTTTCTTTTTACTGAAAAATCTTAAGCACCCAAATTACATAACTAATTCAGAGGAACTAAAAGAATCATTACATTCTGAGACTTTGTAGAATGGATAAAATTCTCCGTTCAGCAAGGATATCAGCCAAGCAAAGTCATTCAAGATTATCATATCACTGAAAAATGACCAAAGGGCATTCTTGTGACTCAAGGCCATGAATCCTAACTAATACATTTATATAAATCATTAGTATCTCTCGTACTTTATAGATTTCTCTCATTAATTGCTGATGATACTCATTACCTTTATTACCATGTCTATCTCTGGATACAAAATATCTCACTTGCATAAATTCTTTGTTGTGTTTCATAGGGATTTAATGTATGAAAGGTGTTCTTCAGCTCAAAGTACGATCATATCATTATCATTTCTAAACAAAAACCTTTTATGATTATGATAAGATTCTCATAATGAAAGAGAACCAACGATCATGGTTACAGGACATATATCTTGCTTATTGTTATTTTTATTTTTTTACATGTACAAAACATAAAAAAAAGTTCCATTGGTCACTGTGACTGTGGCAAGATACTGTATGTATTTTTTTTATTTTCAACATATGGCTCACATATTACCCTCAAGCTTAGTATTATGAAGTTTTGTACTTTTCTCCTACAAGAAAAAATTATGCTGTTGTCAATTAACTGAGACAATTTTTTTTCTTGGAATTATTATGGTGAGACAGTGTATAGCGGGCAGAGTTAACAATCACAAGAGGCTTTCTGCCATCCCTGATTCTCATAAATATTTCATTTTCTTTTGCTACATTCACACAACAATCCACTCAGACTCTTCTTGCAAATTTGTGGCCTTTCTCTTCCCATCTGCTCATCACTTACTTATGAAAGAGTTACATCACCAGCTGTGGTAATGTCTTCTTACAGAGGAAAATTTGAAGGGTGTGTCATTCAATGAGTGTCTACAGTATTATCACAATACTCTCTGCACAATAGAGAACAGCACACAACCAGTCATAAATTTATTACTCATAAACTAACTTGACAACTGACACCTGGTATATATAAGTGTAATTACAAATATTCATGAAATCACAAAATAAGGTGTAAACAATAACACGATTAAATAACTTAGAAATGTTTCACAACAATACTGTATTTAATAGTACAGGGAGCCCCCCCAAATTCGCGAGGGTTAGGTTTTGAAAATGGCAGCGAATCGCCAAATCCGCGAATAACATTTGCGGCCGGTGGGGGAGGGGGTTGTGCGTTGACACACACACAAAACACATACAAATATATAAATAATAATGAGAAAATCCTCTCACAAATAATCAGAAACAAATTTATTAAAAATGTGAGTCTACCCTCAAGTCCGTGCTCTATTAATAAAGCACCACAGACTTAAGGGTAGACTGTCACATTTTTAATAAATTTGTTTCTGATTACAGTATTTGTGAGAGGATTTTCCAATTATTATTTATTTGTATGTGTTTTGTGTGTGTGTGTGTGTGTGTGTGTCTACACACACACTTATATTTGCAGTATCAGGTAAAGGAAATTACTGTCTCTAGAATGAATGGCTCCCTGTCCCAGCCACAAAAATACCAACAACTTTAAAACTACCCACAGACATTCTTGGGTACATCCAGGGTGTCATCCGCGAATAATAGAGGACCGCGAAATAAAAATCCCCAAACTTGGGGGGGTGGGGGCTGTATTTATAACACAATAAATATTCTTACCCACATATAAACAAACTGGCTTAAAATACACCATTCAAAGGCATACAAGAGTACTGTATAGTATATGAACATAAGTGACCACATAATATGTGTAACTGTATATTACTATACAGTTACACACACAGCCATACCAGTATGGTACTGTACTGTATGTATGCACATACAGTACGGTAATTACAAAAAATAAATAATACGTTCCTGGTACTGCTGTACGGGGTATTCTTAATTACCCACCGGTCATGTATCCTGACATTAACTTGATTTGTAAATTAACTTTATTACAACTTTAGTCTTACTGCTTGATCTTGAATCATGATGGTAGCATCTGTCAGTATTTTCCCAGTAGACAAACTCTGATGACATCAATCTACTAAACAGTATTTGTATTATATCTTAACCACTGCAGAAATGCTGTCTTCATTATTCTTTCTTTCCCTTTCTTTTTGCCTGTTCTCTGCCAGAACCTGTAAATAACAAAATTACTTTTCTAAACCATCTCTTTCTGGGTATTATGCTTCATTCACTTCCAATACAGGTTACTGTCATTTATCTTGGCTTCATAAGAACCAGATTTGCACATATTAGACACAATTTACTTTTTACTACATGGCTGCACGTCACATTCTTCCTTTTCCTCCAAGCTTAATGCATCATGGGAAAACATCTCATACACAGTACAGTATCATGCATCTCAAAGACTCTACCAAAATGTAATCCATTACTTTAATGGGTCTTAGCCACCATACACTACCAGCTTATTGTCCAGCCAATAAAAGAGCCAAGATAACAGCACTTCTGTGAAATATTTTTGTGTTGCGGCAGAGCACTAATGCCTTGAGAATATTTTGACTGAAATATACTTTTATCTCGGAATTGGAATTTAAGGGGTTTAACTACCGGTAACTCAGTACTTATTAGAATAACCCATAGTTGGTGAGTAATTAGCACAGAGCTCCTTAAATGTCCATCCCTCACTTACTCAGTAATGGTACTTACCTCACCCCATCCTTCCACCTCCTTTGGTCTAAAAGGAGGATCTTCAATCTTGTAAAAGAATTGAATAGAATTAATCAATTTGTCACTTACCCCATATAATGTTGTGAAGCTTATGACCAATGTAGACAATTAGAAGATTTGGCAAGAGTAGTGCTGCTAGGAACAGTGTTCTTTCTCTAACAGGCAGCATTTCAAATACAGGGTAAACCCAAATGCCAGCAATATATGCAATGTAACATATCCTGTAGAAAAAAAACAACAACATAAGTTTATCTCATAAAATTATCATAAGCCAAATACAGTACAGTATCATCATCATCGTTTTACAACCATTTTCCACATACCCCGTACACACCTTTAATTTTTATAGTATTTTCTCAAACCATAATGTGTATGGTAGTCAAGTTCAAGATTCTTTGAACACTGCTGGAGACAGCTGGCAACTCAAGGCTATTTGTTTACTATAGTACGTAGTCAAAAATATGAATGAATGTAAAATCCAGACCATTAATTAAGCAACGGGGAACTAAGTAACCAATCGCTGATCACTTTTACATTCATTCATAATTTTTACTCCGTACTATAGTAAACAAACGACCTTGAGTTGCCAGCTGTCTCCAGCAGTGTTCGAAGAATCTTGAACGAGACTGTACAAAGAGGCTTAATGCCACTTCCTCAAACCAAGGTGAACATCTTTCCAAATACACTTGGGTATACAAGATCTAAACTTCTAAAGCATTCCTTTTCACAAAAATGTTGAAGTTTACTCTGACAACTGGACTCATTCCTACAATGTCACCAATATTGTTTACAGCTTCCCCTTTAACACACAGAATATTCCCTAAAAGGACTTCAATAGCACGCCCTCTCATATTTACAATAGAATATGAAACATACCAAGACAGGTAGAGGATGTAGGCAATAATGATGGGCACGTATAACATCACTCCTTTTATATATGAGTGATTCACCATAACCAGCTCTAGGGTGGCAGCAACAACTGGCAGAGTATGCATGATATGGTTTAGCCAAGAAGGGAACCAGGCATCGAGTGAAGCTGGGAAGATCAGCTCACGGTCAACAGCATACAGAGCCCAGAAGATGAACGACACAAACTGTGAATGAAGTGATGGCATTAAGAGATATCTAATTATACAGTAGACCCTTGCCATTCGCGAGGGATAGGTTCCAAGAATTGGCACGAATTGGTAAAACAGTGAATAGCAACTTATACTACCTTAGTGCACTACTGTATACCTATACCAAACAACCAACCAGCTATGGCAGCACTCATTCCCTCTTTTAACTTATCTAATAATAAAACTTTCTTTGTCAGGGTCATCACTGACTTCTGCCTTTTACATTTCACTCCACTAGCATCACTCGCACTGACACTAGGCAGTCTATTAGGGAGGCCATTTCACACATAAACACTAAAGTTTTGACAGTACAGCATGAACGGCTGCGTGGGGTGACTCATTGTGCTGCGGGAAAGGGCTTGCAAGCTAGCCACCATCTGCTTACCGTGAATCGTCAAAATCACGAATCGCAAACTTGCGAATGGCAAGGTTCTACTGTATACCCATATGCAGTACTGTAGTTGTCTATAGTATCTGACTGTGTCAGATTACAAGTTGCAGGATCAACAAATTAAGAACCAGTGCTCTTCACATAAGGGAATAAAGAGGAGTTACAACTACCATGGTCTCAAAACACAAAACTGAACAAAAACCCAGAACCTCATGTAAATCATACCATCCAATATAAAAAAAATAATTATATGTCTTACCACACCCATTGGGAAGATTAAAGATGTGAAGAGAAAATCACGTAACTTCTGCAAGGTACTCCTTCGGCTGACAACTAGTGTTTCTGATCCAAAGATGTCGTTGAGCACACATAGGCCAAAGAATCCACATTGTAAGAGCTGCAAAGAGCAAAGGTTAAAATTTAATTCTTAATAATTTGGTTCTTTTGCATTTACAAAAAACATTCCAAGGAATATTTCAGACAACCAGGATGTTAAATATCACATGTGCTTACCAGTATACTGCATGTATATCATGATACAAAAAAATACTGTACACATCTAGGTACCTGGATTCAACCTTATACCAAACTACATCATTTAAAAAACTTGTAAAAATGCCATGCCATGCAACAGTATTGTACTGTACTGTACATCAATTTGAACTATCTACAGTGTAACTAACTTTTGTTAGCTCTCTTAGTAAGAATTTATCTCTATTATCAAAATCTCCAACATTTATCTCTTCACAACATTTTTTTTAACATCAACCCCAACAATTTACAAAGTTACCTTCCTTATTACTTTTTCAGGGACACAATCATATTATCTCTGTCTATTACCAAACAAAATCATGATTTTCACGATCAATAACACGTGAATCACATTTACTTTATGTCTTCAGCATGAGTTTCACACACTACTGGCTGATTATAAACACTCAATGAAGTCAGCTGTAGGTAGGCTGGTAGTCCTTGATTACCTCAGGGAGTTGCAACCCTGCCCTACCAGCTGTTCCCACCCCATGAGTTGGCATTACAATGGGCGTCCAGTTGTAAAACTTTGCTTCAACAATGCCTCATGGTAACCAGGTCACCAGAGTTGTGTCCATCCCCTGGTTTCTGCTGCATTTTCTGTGTTGCCAACCTGGGTTTGCTGTGGTGAGCAAGGGGGAAATATCCCATTTTGGTTTTACCCAACAACTACCATCAGGTATTTGTGGCTAACCCACACAAGTGTGGAAAATGGCCGTAAAACTTTGATGATATAACTCTGAGTACTGTACATGACATACAGAGACACTGACATGGCCTTGTACCTTATACTGTATTGTACAATGCTGTGTTAAAATATTCATTTGCTGTACAGACACCCTTACATGTTAATTTTTAGTGAAAATATCAAAATATCTAAAGTATCTCAGGAGCCCAGATTAAAGATGAAGGCTAATTTATTCAACATCTTATATACTGTAAGAACTGGGACACATAATAAATAGATCATGAAACTCTTGCTGTAGACAACATTTGATCATACAAGTCCTAACAAATTTATTGTCTACCCTGAAACACCTCTACAGAACTTGCACTGCACTACAAACAAAGTTTTATTTGCAAGGTACAGAAGTCATATTAATTTTAACACTTGATCTGGACTCATGTAATGATTACAAAAGTATTTTTAAAACATCTGTGAATACGTGTACAATATTGTATTATCCATAAGTTGTAGAGCTGTATCCAAGAATGTGTCGATGTATCAAGTTGTCATTGAAGCTCTCACCTGTAACATTTTACCATGTGTTGCATCACTCTTCCTATTGCTTCCCTTCTTTGAGGATTCTTAAGCCCTTCATCTACCTCACACACAAGTGTATAAAGTGTTAAATATCATGCACAGATAGCAGTACTGTATACTATTAATATACAAATACAGGGTATTAGTTTTTCCTTCTTTTGTAGAATACATACCAGTATACAGTATAGGTATTTATCTTAGTTTATACAGTATTCATTTATTATCTGTGTACTGCCTCCTGCAAACCATTAAAATAATCAAATGACAGTTCCCCACTGTTTCATTACACTATACAGTACATACATGTACAAAATGTGCTACTCTTAACCTCAATATTAAATTCTAAATACTGTACAATAAAATAAAAATTCTACATAATATACAATACAAACACTACTGTACTGTACTGTATGTTATTAAATTATCAATCCAGCTCTAAAATTACAGCTCCCAATAATTATTATTTTGGCTTTACTGTATTGCCATTACAATATAAATACCCTTTTAGTCTGATTTGCATGTACCTGTACTGTACTGTACTGTACCTTCACTTATGGTATACTGACCCTGTACATATCTAAACTTAAACCTAATTTTGCAATACACTATACACTTTACAGCCATTTTCCACACTTGTTTGAGTTCAAAGATACACATCACACCATTTCACTCTCTGAAGAGGTCAATGAGTATGTTATGTGGCACCGAATATATATTGAATTTAGATGTAATTACCTTACTTGTTCAGAGGTAATTACATGCTTGTTCAGTAGTTAGGGCTATATTTTATATTACTTTGTTCCTGCATGTAATAATTGTTTAAGGTGTTATAGTATATATACAGTATTAATTTATAATATGTATGTATTAAATAAATCTGCCTAATGTTGTGTATTAGTTTGGTAAAATAGTATGATAATTGAAAACATGGTATCAGCACTGTGTGGGTCAATGGTCCACCAGCTCAGCAGTCAGCAAGTGAGTGCAGGCAGGGAGGGAGGCATGCAGATGAGCCTGGCTGGTGTGAGCGTGTGGTACAAGTGTGGTATAGTTGGTCTGGTCACAGGATATACTGTCTGTATATGGAGATAAGTGGTTTATACTTTTGTACTGTTCAAGTGTATGGTAAGGCTGAGGTGAGGGTTTAGATTAATTTAGGTTGTGGTTGTTTGTATTTCATTAATTTTTGTTCTTGTACCTGTACTTGTCTTTCTAAATACATTCCCAAATTTTGTTAAATTAAGAAATTATGCAGTGTATGATTCCTCCTCAATACGATGCAAATATATTGAGTAAGTCTGAGGGTTAAGAACATAGTGGATATAATATTAGTCACTGTAGTGTTTACCCTGCTTCTTCTTGTGACCACTAGTGGCAGGGGTTTGTTTCTTTAAGCTTTCACAACTAAGCATAACAAGTACATGTTGCAAAAAGTGTATTTTGATATGTCTAAAGTTGAATAAATTGGGAGTAAGAAAGAGATGACCCAAAACTGTGGATAACCGACTTTTGCAGTTATGTACTGTATCTGTACTGTGTGTAAATAAGTCTACTTTACTTGTATAGTAATTTAAAAACTCCTGTACCGTAATTACAAGGTAAAGCTTTAGTTCTATACAACTATGGAATCTGGGATCTTTAACACATGCAATAGATATACAGTAGAAGTCCAAAAATCCGGACTGCTTGGGGATTGGGTCAGTCCGGATTTTCGGGATTCTCAGGTAGTAGTTTTAAAATTCAAATTTAAGGAGGAATAAAGAAGAGATGAACAGGTACATTTTGATAGTTTATTCATTAGCAAATATAGCATGCTTCATTTATCAACACGAGCAGTTTTAAAGAAAAAGCTGTGAATTCTAGAATTTTATTCTTTGCCTTTTTTGTATCATAAATTGTAGACTTTCCAATGTCGTATGTTTCCATTAGAACAGTATTGCTCACACCACGTTCTAGTTTCTTAATTATTTCAAGTTTGTCACTCAATTTCAAGGTGTTCTTCTTTCTCATCACACAACGAAGTTTATCTACTTTATGAGCCATTATTATGGGCTTGTACAGTACTCTGTAAATGGAAGGAGTAGGACTCAAAATTACATATGTTGTCACAGTTTGATTGCTCGTTTTAAGGTGGCGACCACGTGGTCGCTTGTTGTCGCTGTGCAGCTGTGGCGCTCATGCATGCGCACATACACACAAAAGCCTGCAAAAAAATAAATAAAAAAAAGTTTTCGAAAAGTCCGGATTCTCGAGTGGTCCGGATTTCTGGAATCCGGATTTTTGGACTTTTACTGTATCTCATGATTTTCACTAACTTTCAATCTATACACTTCCGTTGCAAGTGAATAACAATGAACCTAAGCTAACCAACCAAAGAAACCTTACCTAACTTCCTAGTCTGGGGGTTAACCCTCTGCTATATTAAAGAGAAAGTACTTATTTTGACATCTGTACCAATGAAAGCAACTTTGTTGAAGCATCATGGTGTAATTCTATGTTTTTTGTGGACTGAGAGTATGGTCAGATCGAGTGTGTCGGTTGTAAACAAACTGAGCAGACAACAATAAATCGGTGGTCATTGGCTAAAACAAAGGGCAGGTGTGCATTTATTGGCTAATAGGACACTGTCACGTCACCCCTCCTCCTCCCCTACACGGGGCATGCACGGTGGAGGAACGTATATACGGACACACCAAATCTTGCGGAAGTGGTGGTGACAGGTGCTCCTGTATATGATAATAACAAGACAATAAAACACATCCAATATCTCCGTTATTTGACATTTATGAGGTGTCATAGAATTATTAAATATATAGATTGCAAATGCCGAATGAGATGGTTGTACATATCTAAAATAATATCAATTACAGTACTAAACACTTATACTGTACTGTACAGTACATAATCATTGTCAAACATGCCACACAGCAAATATCCTCAAGTGTTTTAATACAATGTGCACAACAATTAATAAGCACACCCATCACTCTTCAATGGCACTACTGTACTCAGAACACAATATGAAATTATATGAAGAACAATTATTCCAATGATTTTGGTAGCTTTACAGATTAATTGCCAAGTACCACATCAATAACTTCTATAATGATACAGGAAGTTAAAAAACAATAAACTATTGTTCATCGCCATTCACACACTGAGTGAAGCACTAGCCAGCAGTAGTACCGTATACACCTTGATGCATGATAGCCTTACCAGATTTAGACGAGTCAAGAATTTGTATGATCCACCAAAGTTTTTCCTGAATATGTCACCCCTGGAGCCGGCAGGAGGTTTGCAATGGTGTTCATCATAATGCAGTCCATACATATAAGTGATGAACATAACTGCATGGCTCAATTTTACACTGGGAATCATCTTGTACAACTGTTATATGGTACAATCACTGCAAAGTAAAACAAATACAGTACAGTTCTCCTACACCGTGGTTTTGTGGTAGTTGCCTTCCTGAAGAATTTAACGTTATGGGAAAATCGGGTTGTAAGTTAAACAGTTGAGTCGATGGGAATTAAGGGGTTAGGGGTAGTAGGTTGGAAAACATCAACATAATTGACATTTTGCTTTACGTTTTATTGTATTATTGTTTGTTCTTTTATAATAAGTGTTTTAGTTTGATTTCAATCACTAATAGAATGAAATCATGAAAAGGGGATAAAAGTTTGTTACAGTGTGCTAATCTGTTGCTATGCAATAAAAAAACGTGGCCTTGAAGGTGAAAAAATGAAAATGGTGGAATGTAACTCGCTTGAAAACTTTGAGATTATAACCTTTTTAAAACAAAACCTTTCTTACTGTAAAGGATGTAAATAAACTTATAAAAATGTTTGAGAGACAAATAATATAGAGTAAAGCACAGTTTGAGATAAAAAGTACTGTCAAGTACAATGTGTATACCTGTACAGGTAATGGCACATGAGTATATCTCTTAAATTTTGTGTCCACCAGCTTCCAACCTTGTGTGACATAATGACGAGGTAGCCACACAACCTTTTATTCTTAATTGCATGACATAATTATGTTTACTCAACTGCAGTACAGTATATATCCAATTCACATCCACGCTGTAAAAAATGCGTTCCCTAATAATCCGTCGTGTTATAACTAATTCGTTTTATGAAAACACACGTTATAGGAGAACAGATTATAGGTACAAAGTTGTTCCCAACATTGAACAACCGTGAGATATAAAACACTGTCCTTAATATTATTCACAGTTTTATAATTTCAAATATAAAAGGAACATTCTCCTGTAGATTAACTTCACAAAAATAGTGAAGGGAACAGAATCTTTCGAGCAGAAGAAAAGTCTTTATCAACCATAATTATGTGTTTACTTGGCTTCTGACACTAATCAGTTAATTCTTTGCCCATAACTATTAATACTGTATAGTATAGTACAGTACTGTACATATAATCACTACCAAAAATAACTTAAAAGCATTAAATAAAATACATATATATTTATGAAAACTTTTCTCAATGACAATATGGATTTAAATTGTAAATATTGATAGTGTACAAAAAACAATTAAAATTATGAGAAAGATACACATGTACAATCTCAAAAACTGGATTTAACTACAAGTATTAACCTCATTTCTTTCAGCTAATCCAAGGACAGTATGGTGTAGGGGTGGTCAGACTTGCTTAACCTAAGAACCGCATACCATAACCTTCAGGTGTTCGAGAGCAGCAAGACAAAAAAATATAAAAACGTTTTGTGTTAAATACACAAATTATTAAAAAAATTATATGCAAATATTACCGTAACATACGTGAACGCAGTAATATTTACTAATGTACAGTATGTAGTTTTTAATATTTTGTTTCAATAATCAGAAGTAAAAATATATACAAAATGTTATCAAAATTGAGTGATGTTTGTTTTAACGGCCCTGAGCAAGTTTAATACATACTGTAATGAACTCAGAAAAAATATGCAAGTGCATTTCAATAACATAAAATGGGAAAAAAAGGTGAAAATAACTATCAAATATTTTTAATTATATTTATTTGTCTTGGTAAACATTTGGTCAAGACTTGGAGGAAAATATAAAAGAAAAACATGCAAACCAATAAAATTTCAGTTTAATCAGATACCACCTTACAAAGCTTGTTTTTCCGTAATTCTGATTTAGGTGGGTAATCACACGTGATGTTTTTGTTATTTGTTTTGTAGTGGTGTTTCAAGTTACTAGCTTTGTAGTGAGTGAGTGACACATTGCAGATAAAGCACAAAGGTTTACCTCCTTTAATGGGAAATGCAAAATCATCCTCCCACTCTGGTTTAAAATTTCTGTTTTCATCTTCATACTTTCCCTTTTTGCAATTGGATGATGCCATCTTCTTTCACAAAATTTTCAGACTCTGTCATCAAATAAATTTAACAGTATTTAACAGCAACTTATTTTTATGAATTGTAAACACATCCTGTATCTGGAGGGCACCAGTTAGATCTGGACAGTTCAACTTCCTGCTTTACATTGCATTACTGTGTCAGATCATGGCTGGGCTTCCTGCCCTGCCCCTCCTAATGACTTTCCTCCGTAATCCCTGACCTGACTCGGCACTGATGAACGACACCCGACTAAATTCTAGCATTAAAATTAAGATTTACACTCTTAAATATTTAACTTATGTTTTAATCCAGTGACCTCTAAGTTTATAAATGTAATGCTCAAATATTTTTATTATTTACCGGTACCCTTTAAATTGAATATGATGGAAAAAAAGAGTTCAGTCAAGATATTTTTGTGAGCCGCACATTAAGTGTCAAAGAGCTGCATGTGACTCGCAAGCCGTGGTTCAGCCAACCCCTGGTATAGTGCAAACTACTGTATGTACAGTAGTATTTCCAAACTGATCTCATTCCAATTCAGATCTGAAGTGTGCGAGACATTGCTATATCTCCTGAAAACAAATAACCTTATGCACTTACCGGTACAATATAGCCACAAGGGAATTATCATAGTGTACCCCCTAACATAATGCATAATACTGCATCATGTCAAGGCACAATCATTTGATATTTGAAATGTACTGACTGAAGCATTAAAGAACTGTCAACATAATATCCAGAAACAATGACTCGAATGAGTGATACTGTACAGTACATATTTACCTAACAATCTTCAACATATTTCAAGTGCAGCTCTACGAATTACGACGGGGTTAGGGACCCAAATCCAAGTCGTAAGTCGAATTGGTCGCAAGTCGAAAATGATACA